CCCCTGAAGATCCCCCCCCTCTCAAGGCACACACTAGAGATCCCCCCCTGCCAGGCACCCTGCTCCAGACACCCCTTAGAGGTCCCCCCTAAATATCTCCCCTATGGACACCCTCATATAGACCACCCCATATCCAGACACCTCCTGCAGCTCCCCCACTAAAGATCCCCAGCTCCAGACACACTCTAGAGATCCCCTCCTCTGCCAGGCACCCTGCAGAGATCCCTTCTCCAGACACGCTCTAGAGCAGTGGTTCTCAAACTTTTTTGTACCAGAACCCACTTGTAAACATCAATGGCCAGTCCTGACCCACTGCCCCCCCAGCCCAGTGGGGGGGGTCAGGTGTGTGTGTTTGTGGGGCTGGGGGACCCCCAAGCAACCCCTTCTCAGGCTGGACCTCTGCCAGCCTGCAAAGGAAAAGCCACTGTTTCCCATGTTTTTCTTCTTGAAAGGAGAATCCGTTTTTCAAGTTTGATCCTGACCCTTTCATATATTCTTGTGACCCACTTTTGGGTTGTGACCCAGAGGTTTGAGAAATGCTGCTCTAGAGATTTTCCTCCCCCCACACCTAGGCACACCCCCCAGAAATTCCCCTCTCCTGGCACCCCGTAGAGATCCCCACCACTAGGCACTGCTCCCCCCCAAGATTGCAGACACATACCCTAGAGATTATTTCCCCTCCTGACGCATCCTAAAGTTTCCCCCTCCAGACACACACCCTGAAGATGATTCCCCCTCCAGGACATACACTTGTGTTAGTTTATTTACAATTAACAAAAGGAAGGAAAGGATGTTCTTTTTCACCCAGGGTGTAATGCAAGGCTGGAACATGTTGCTCTCAGAAGCAACAGAAGTGGAGAGTAAATCCCTGGGGTATCCACACCTTGAAGACTGCACCTACATGTCTGGCCCCTGTACCTCCAAAAGGATCTAGAAGAACTAGAGAAGGTGCAGAAAAGGGCAACCAGGATGATCAGGAGCACAGAGGGGCTTCCCTATGAGGGGAAACAGAAGGGGCCAGGCCCATTCAGTTTAGAAAAGAGATATCTGAGAGATCAGGATCAAGATTTACAAGGTACTAAATGGTGAAGAGAAAAATCATTAGAGATTTACTATTTGCTGTGTCTCACCCTACAAGAACTAGAGGCCAGAACATGAAACCAGTCAGCAGAGCTGTCCCTAGGGGTGTGCAGGGCCCGGGGCATATCAGCCTATGCAGGGCCAGGGGGTAGCAAGTAGCCCAAGTGTGTGGGGGCAGGAAGGGGGGTTGCCCTGATTTGCCTCTGCAGGGACAGCTCTGCCTGTACAGCACTGTCTGCAGGGCCCCCCAAAGCACAGGGCCCATGGCAGTCACCCTGATTGCCACCCCCACCCCCTGCCTGGATGACCCTGCCAGTCAGCAGTAAGTTTAAAACAACCACAGCCTCTGAATCAGACCATCTTTAACCTTAAATGCTAGAGATTGTAAGTGAGAGGAACACGGGGGGCCAGAAACCCTGGTCAGACCCCGTTAACTCTGTTCCAGCATCTCCTCTCTACCGCGTGTGACACCAGACCAGGCAAGATGGACCTATGGTTCGATCCAATAAATGGCATTTCTTATGTTCACATCCTGGAGATCCCCCCTCCAGGCACACACACAGCCCTCCAACTGGGGCTGGATGCAGGAGCTGGGCCCTCTGTGCCCCCACATGAATGAAGGGAACTTAATCCAAACTAGCAGAACCCTCTGTGGGATCCGTATGTTTGCCACCCAACTTCAGTCCCTCCCAGATTCACTGGTCCAGTTAGATGTTCCCCATCAGATCTGCTGCCTAGCTGACCCCCATCCTGCCTGGGATGGGACCGGAAAAAGATGCCTCAAGGGGAAGTGCGTGGTATGAGGTAAGTGATCCTACTGCCATGAAACTCTTACCCCAGTTCCCAGTCCTGTAGAACCCCAGGGCCAGAGATTTTCCATCTCTTCTCTTGCACTGTCTGTTAACATCAGATTTTGGCACCCTGTAGCAAATGTGCTCCCCCTACATGGCAGAGTATTCCCTTCCACACAAAGCAGCCCTGCTGAAAGGACAGAGCTCAGATATGCTCCCTGTACACTAGCTCCTGACTCAGAAGCAGGCTAGCCCTGCACGTGCTGTGCTACAGATGGGCTGAGCAGTGTTGCGCATGAACGTGTCTATACTACTCCTAGTTGGGGACTTCACTTGATTGGGTCCGTATTGCCCTGAGCCCTGGAAGGCTGCACTGCTCTGTTACAGCTCCTGACAACCCTGCTATTCACAACGAGACACAGGCCTTTCTCCTATCTTGCCAAGTTCTTGGTTTCTCTGGCATCCTGTGGCAATGAGTTCCACAGTCAGATCACACGGTAAGGAGAACGGCTGCCTCTGTCTCAGCAGCTCTGAATGTATTTACTGGTGGGAAAAGGCACAGCACAGCCCTCTGTCCTGGCAGAGGCTGTGTTAGGAGATGGGAAGGGACAGCCTCCTGATTTCACTCATGCCAGCCAGTCAATTCAGCATGTACCTTGTTTTGCCTTTCTCAGCACTGAATGCCATCTCGCATTGTGCTACACATCCTCCTGTCTCATTCCTTCTCTAGCAGTCCCCTGAATCACACAGGCAGCTTTGTATCACCTGCAAGCCTTGCTACCTTGCTGCTCACCCTAGGATATTAAAAAACAAGATTTGGGATTAGGTTGCTTTTTAAATGAAGGAGCCACACTTAACCTTCCACTATAACAAGGATCATCAGCCCACAATTCCTACTCCTGGGCTTGTGGAAAAATCTCACCCCTGAGACCACTTCATTTTTTTAGAGGCTTCTTCTGGAATAGTTCTCTCAAAGGATGCCTCAGACCTAAATTTTGTCCATGGCCTAGTTTTGGCCCAGTTTCTAATAACTCAAAGACATCCCCTTGTAGATTTTCCCTCGGCCAAAGCCCAGTTTGTTAGCAGGCTTCTCAGCCCAGTCTTCCAGGTGCTTCATTATTCTGTTTCCAGTGATCATGCCAATCAAGTTAACCAGGTGCAGCTGTGAGGCTTCCTGCCCTGCCCTCCCCCAGATCATCCTTATGGACTTTCTTACACACAAATATATATAACATTTGGATCAAGTATCTGTTTTTAAAAGAGAACCTGCCTATTTTTTCCCAGCAGCTCAGACCTTTCTTCCTTGAGGTAATTTAGCACTCCTCCCCTACATCAGCCAAGCCTCATGATCTATTGCTTATTTTAAATTGTTAGGTTGTTCTTGCCTCTCTTCCCTTGTAGTAGCCCCTAATCTAACCACTACATCACCCTGCCAAAGTAAGGGACAGACCACTGGAATCCTGACACTCGGTGTGGACGGCTGGGTAGTAAACCGTTGGGTAGTTCTCCCTCTAGTGTCTGATCCATGAATACAGGGGTCTAGTTTGTAGCCATGTGGTGTAAGGACATTGGCAGACAAGGTTCTTTGGGTAAATCTGATCTTTTATTAGACCAACTCAACTAATTGGAAAAATTCTATGCAAGCTTTTGGGTATAAATACCCTCAGCCTGATGACAGGTATTTAATTTAGGGCTGTGCAAAACAGCACCGTTTCATTTCAAGTTCTGTTTCGACAGGACTGTTTCATTTCAAGTTTCATTTAGTTTTGAAACCATTGTTCCATTTCATTTTGTTGAAACTGTTTCAATGTTTTGCCCATAGGCTAATGGGGAACCACAAAACTGCCTATAACTTTGTCAGTTCTTGCTTGATTTGGATGGAACTTGCAGGGATGGTAGCTCCTTCTGAGGCCATGAAGCCTGCCAAGTTTCAAGGACATAGATGCAGGGGTTTCTGGAAAACTGCACCTCAAATTCTTGAAAGCAAAATTTGGGTCGTGTGTGTATGTTAAAGCACAGCAGGGTGAAAACTGCAGGCCCGGTGGCCCCTGGTGAGGCCACAAAACCTGCCAAGTTTCAAGGAGATAGGTGCAGTGACTTCTGGGAAACTGCATCTCAGGCTGCTGACAATCAAAACTTGTGACGTGTGACTGTGTGTGTGTTAAGGCACAGGGTGGGGGTGAAAACTGCAAGCATGCTAGCCCCTTCCAAGGCCATGAATCCTTCCAGGTTTCAAGGAGACAGGTGCCATGGCTTCTGGGAAACTGCACCTCAGGCTGCTGACAAGCAAAACTCATGACGTGGGTGACAGAAAGCAGGCCAATTCAAACAATGCTGCCTTGTAGGCTGTTTTTCCATCCCTCCCCCAGAGCACTAGGATTAGAAGGGACCTCAGTCACTAGCCAGCTACACACAGTCAATATGAGAGCAGTCCTTCCTCTCCTTACTTTGTTTCCCTGCAGGCAAGCCCTGCCCGAGTTTCAAAACTCGAAACATTTCAGCTGCCCTCATTTCGTTTGGAGGCTGTTTCAAAGCCCTTCATTTTGTTTCTATTTTGCTGTTTCAAGCTCGAAATGAGTTGAAACAGCATTGAAATGAAACAACTGGCGAAATTTCACACAGCCCTAGTATTTATACCCAAAAGTTTGCAAAGAAGAATTTTTCCAACCATTTGAGTTACCCTGATCCATGAAGAGACACACATCGTTAGCTGTGCTAATCTGAAGTCAAGCAGAAAGCAGGCTTGATTTCCAATGCATCAATCCAAGAATGACAACCAACCATCAGTCTTGCTCCTGGATCAGTGGTGAGTAAGGCGAGGAGAGAGACTGGCACAGCTTGGGTTTCTCCAGTTTCCTCTTTATTAGCCACTTGATAAATGGATACAATGAGCAACCTTGGGCATAATGTAAAATGTACTTAAAAGGAAATGTAATACAACAGAACCTGTTGGGTTCTTAATGTTCCCTAACAATTTTCATTTCTCGTCTAAAATAACATCTGAAATTATAGGGGTACAAGATCTATATTTTATTTTGGCAGAAGAAATATCCTATTTTACTTCTTTGTATTTCCACCCCCCATCCACCTCCAACACAAAGGGGTCTTGTACATGTAAGTCAGGCTTTTCTACCCAAAATTTTGGGCAGGTTGTTCAGATCTCTCATTTCCCACTGTTGCTGAGAGACAAGAATGTCACTACACATGCTGCAACCTCTTATTTTTCCCCACCTACCCCATTGAAATATCTGCTGAAATCATGTTGACAACCTCCTGTCAAAATTGATATGTGCCAGGAAAAGCAGTGCCACAGCCCTGGGGGAGTTAGTGACTAGGTGCATTGTACAGAGAATGTCAGCATCTTCAAACATGAGCTCGCCCCAGGTTGTAGTGGCTGACCCATCAGACAGTCTTCGGCACAGGCTGCTTCAAGCCCTCATCTAACCCCAGTTGCTAGACTGCATCACAGTAAGGTCCATCAAGGTTGGACCTCTGTCTGTGGCTGCACTCACCTCTGGGGAGGAAACGTGGGGATCCCCAAACAAGCAAGATTAGGACCTCTTGACTACAGAGCAGCACAAGCTGCTTCCTTCCCCCAAAAAGTCAACAGGTAGCTTATAACCCTAACCCTCTTCTGGAAAAACCTACTAGTTTACCTGTCTGTCTGCTATGACTCTCAAATCCCCTCCAGGGGCTCTCCCATCAAAAGGGAAAATCTTTACCATCTTCGCTTCCTAGGGTGTCATCCCTCCTGTGCTTTGTTTGCCATTTTTAGAACAACCGGGGGAAAAAAAACCCTATACTAGATCCCTGCCAAGTTGGGTCTAGACCTTCCACATTGGCATCTCTCACTGCAGTGAGATGCACCAAAATAAAAGCAGGTGCTCAGAAAAAGTTGGGGAGGTAGGAATTGTCAGGTACTTGGTCCTGTAATTCCCCCTCTGGCATCCCCACCATGCAAGAGGGGACATGGCAAGTAGGGATGCACTTGTGGATGAGAGGGTGACAACCTGTGCTCCTCCCAATCTAATCACTGGAGGGTTTAGCACAGATGTTCAGATAAGTAATGGGAGGAAGATCCGCATAAGCCTTGGGGGAGAGGCCAGGCTACAGAACAGTCTCCAACTAAACCCAACGCCTATGTGGGCTGCATCTAAGAAGAGTTATAGGAAGCATAAGGTGCTACATACAGCATTAACCAGATCCTTTCTGAAGGGGACATCCCTTTTGGGAGCATTAACACCAGATGTCTGAGAAACTGACCAGGGTGTACAGAAGCAGCATGGGGATGAGTTGGGGCAGAAGAACTAGTCTCAGTGTGACTCAGCAAGCTTAGGTTTTTTGTTGTTGGTTTTTTTTGTTTGTTTGTTTGTTAATCAAAGGATGACTGAATTAGTCTGTAGGCACCTACCTAAAGAGAGGATATGTGGTAGCACCTGGCTAAATTGAGAGATTGGTTTGAAATCGGGAGATCTGAAGCACATGTGATGCTTGGTGAAATTTGTTTTCCAGGATTTTGAGCATCCCAAGTAAGTTTGCATTCATGATCTCCAGCTTCTCTTTACATGTTCACCCCTTTCCTTGATAACAGAATAATGAAAGAGTAAAGCAAGCAGGAAGCTCAGGTCACACTAAGTCCAACCCCCTGCTTTGGGCAAGATCAGCCCCCATCTAAACCACTCATCCAACCACCCTCCAAGTGAAAAGGATCTTCCAGGTATCCAACCTACACTTCACTAATTTAATTGCTACTGAAGACTGTTACTCCTTACCCCAAACCCTGAAGCTAAGGAGAAGAGCTTATCACTATCCCCTACCCCAGAACCTAGGTGAGGACCAATATCAGATTCTCCCCTCCCACCAATCTGTGATCAAAACATGACCAAGTCTTCTTTCAAATCACAAGACTCTGAGTCAAGACTTCACCCAAGGGGTGTGGGACTGTACAACAGCAAGCCAGTTAATGCTGCTTGCCATCTTTCTTTCTCTTTCCTATTTCATGCTATTTTTCCTGCAAGCCTGTGAAGTTAACAACCCTCCATTTTCTCCTATTTGCAACAGAGGGGCAGCAGTTTCTCCAGCCGCAGGGCTGAAACTCTGTCCTCCTTACCCATCAGGGCTTTGTTCCCCCACCCTAAACCTCACCCCCCCCATTGTACCTTGATGAGGCTTGTTATGTGCCAACACCTTGCCATCCTGTATATGAACCTAAATACAGCATAACTTACAGTAGTGCTACCCTTGCAAGGCTGTGTTGTCTAGTCTTGTTTGTTCTGCTTCACCACAGAGTCCCTCCTGGCCTGATGGGGTCCTCAAATGCCTCCCATTTGAAACCCTACATTTCCAAGATAATGTACTTTCACACCCTCCCCTCAGATAATTGCATGGGAAATCAGTTTTCCACCTGCATTTGAACAGAACTGGACTAACATCATAAGACAATGACAATGTTAACCAGTATGTCTCTTAAAGGTTCTGCTATTAGCTAGCAGCAGCTGAAGTCAGTGGCATTCACATAGGTCCCTACATTGAGATCAGCTGACCAAAAACTATCTATTGATCTATTTTCCAATTTTAATAGCTGCCACCTCCCAAAAAATCATCTCCAAAGCATGGATGGGCTCAGAGGATGCCCTGCCTTCCTGGAGAACCAGCTTTCATATCTAAGGAGTTGAGCCTCTAGAGTCTAGAGATGTATTAAAGTGGAAGCCAATAGTCTGCCAGGAGGGAAATGCCCCCAGCTTTTCTGCCAGAGCCTCTCCTAGAAAGAGAGGGAGGAGAAATCAGCTGGGCTGTGGGAAGCCCACAGTAGGGGAGCAAACACCAAAACAGTTTTCCAGGGAGTGTCAGACAAATGCTCTGCATTGCACCAGCCTTTGTAAAAGGGAAGAAGGCTGAAACTGAGGGGTGCCCATGGGGTCCCAAGAGCTCTCCATCTCATACTCAGCTATGGGGCTCTATTCCCTTCATCTGCATCCAGGCACACCCTCAGGATTGATGCATTCTTCTCCAAAGCCTTGGGGCTAGCATTAGATACCATTTCCCAAGCACTGGATGACAGATGCTCCAAATACTGACCATAGGAAGCTCTGTTGGAGCACACCCATCTCAAGCAGTTGTGCTGAGAGAGCCTCAGGCCAAGCCAATTCTGGGATAAGCCACAAAATCCTGATCCCCTCCCAAGACAGAGCCTGGGATCTCCAGGCCATCAGTGCAACTTTCCTTGATGAGGCTGACTTCCTCCCTCTGTCAGGATTCCCTGTCTGGATTTTACTGGAGGGGGAGTGGGGGGAAGAAAGGAAAGAAAAATGTCATTTTTAGCTTCTGTTTGGTCTCAGCCGCTTCCAAGTCAAAAGGCTGAAGCCATAGAGAGAGAGCTTGTGGCACTGCTACAGGTATTGGGAGCAGCATTTGATTGACAAACTGGATGTCCCAATGGAGCTCATTAAAACTCAGCCTTGGCTGTCTCGTGGGAGGCCTCGGCGCTAGGCTGCTCAACCCAAATTTAGCCCCTTGTTATTGTGCCATTAGAACGCAATGGCTGCCCTGCTGACAAGTGCAGCACGCTGCGTTGGCGGCTGCATTAATGCCATTCTGAGCCACAGATGCTTTTCCTGCTAATGACAAGCCGCAGCACAAGGCCGACTAGAAGGTGGGTCGGTCTGCATTTGAAGAACCCCAGGCAGCTTATAGCCGGATTATTCATGAAGGGCTCTCTGCCTGCACACTCTCTCCTCTCCCTTCTTTACTCTTGTCCCCAACAGCCAGTTCTGCAATTCATGCACCACTGGATGAAAAGGCCATTGCACAAAGGCAAAAAAGCCTTTCTTTGTTCCAAGTCCAGCATATGCCGGCATTGGAGGAAGAGCCAACCTGGGAGCAGCAGTACCATCTGGGGTTGGTGCAGGCAGGAGATGGGGGTAAAAAGGGAATGATGTGATGGAGGAAGATCCAGGACAGGTAGGAGCCAGAGACAGAAGTAGGGTTGATCTCTTGCAGCCTCTGCACCAAGGGGCAGTTCCAGATTCTGGCTTTGACAGCCAGGCTGGAGCAGCAGTCCAATGCAACAGGGTAACCTGTGGACATCCATTATTAGCACTGTCCTGATGCTACCTGTGACACCCCTGCTAGGGACAGCAGGAACAAAGCTACCCCTACAGCAACAGGAATGTTTTGACCCCTCCACACAGATACACGTCTGACTATATGCATGCACACCCTGGGCATCTGGGTGAGAGGCAGAGTTCGAAGTGATGGGGGTTTGAGGCACATGAAGTGTGCAAACTCCCCAAGAGCAGAAAGCAGGACATGAGGAAGAAAATCAGCAGTGATTATCATGCCATCTGCACCCCAAGGGCAGGGAGAGATCTCCAGGAGATGACTGAAAATGGCTAGTCCTTTGCACCCATCAATGTGGGGCAGGCTTAGATGTATAGTTGGAATGGCCATTGGCTAGTGGCCCATTAGCACGTGAAAGCTGCCAGGGCCTCAGAGCCATGCAACTGAATCTCCCTAGATCTCTGTAGTTATGGCCCAAAGCTTTTCAATTGGGGGGTGGGGGGAAGAGTTACAAAAAAAAAAAGACTCAAAGCTAACTCCCCACCATGCTGGGTTTGCTCCCTGCCCTCCAGGTAAAACAAGTTCTGGGCAAAGCCCTTTTACCAGCTGGAACTTCTTGCAGGGCAGATGGGGACAATGAGGCACAAAGCCCAGGGTTTCCCATCAGGGCAGTAGCAGAGCTGACAGCAGGAGTCTAGACTCTACATTATCCAGACCAGAGCCACAGCCAGGCTTCAGATGGGGCAAATCATCCCAGTACCAGTCACTTTTATGCAAATCCAGCATGTCAGGGAGCCTGTTAAGTTATCTGGGGTGGTCAGCAAGTCCTGGGCTCTGATCCCACAGATCCCATGACCTAGGCTTATACTAGAGGTTTGCATTAGTCTATGCTACTGCAACAAGGGCATATGCAGACAAGAGCTACGTCCACACTGCAGACGGATGAAGTACACAACTTCTGCAGCTCCTCAAATGGCATTAGGTCTCTATGCATCTTGTAACAGAGCAGAAGCAGCTACTCCTGGACAAGGCCAAGCCCATTTTAGAGGGAGGAAGCAAGAGGGTCAGTGTAGAAACAAATCTTCCTCAAGTTTTTAGTTGCAGCCATGCTGGTCTAAGGACATAGGCAGGCAAGGTTCTTTGAGATGTGATATCTTGTATTACTTGGTCTAATAAAAGACATCACATCTACTCAAAGAACCTTGCCTGGTCTTCTTCCTCAAGCCATTCAAGCAAGGCAAAACCAGGGGAAGCCTTTGCAATTAGCCCAGAGGCAGATATGAGGTTTCCCACTGTGTCTCCTCCCTCCCAAACATGGGGAAATGGCCCCTTGCCTTTACTGCCCATTCCTACCTTTCAGAATTGTGAATAGCTGGGAGCTGGATGAGACCAGGTTTCACTCACCTGTCTAGAAGTCTGGGCCAGCCATGAAACAATAGCTCTTTGCTCCCTCCAGTGATGAAGTAGCAGAACTGCAAGCATCCCATCCACAGCCTGGAACAGAAAATGATGGGAGCTCCTGAATAGCAGCCTTTTGACAGCTGCTTCACCTCCACTGCTTTAAGTCAGAGTGAACTCAGGTTACAAAGAAGATAGTGCAGCCGAAAGGGACTGACGTGCAAGTAGCAGGTGGTTTAGGATACAAGCAACTGGTAGAACATTTAAACTGGTGTTATAAAGTTAGGTGGATTATATGTCCTTATCTGGCCTACCCATAAATTGGATTCAAGGTGGCTACAATAATTGCAATGGCAACAGCCTGAAAGAGAAATTACACCCTTAAAAATAGTGATCGACTAGTTTTAAAACTTTTAGCAAGATTTAGTAATGCAATAATGGAAAATGTCTAATTAAAATCTATGTCCTACAGGGGAGAAGGAAAAAAATTATTAACTTAGTAATTTGATGGAAATGCTTGTAGTGGACTAGGAGAAAAAAAGTCTTCTGCCACATCAGAAAGTCTTTTAACTACTGAAAACAAGTGCTAGTTCTAGGACCTAACTCTTTGGGGGAGGAGGGATATTGGAAGAAATTCAAAACTCTAAAAGCGTAGGTAATTAGAAGAAAGTAAGTTTTGCATTATGCAGAGTGCTGAGAAAAATGGGTGTGGTGAATTTAAGCATGATACATTTAGAGATGAAATGCACCAGCTTAACATCAACTGAAACATGAAAGGAATGGTCAGAAACTGAAAGGAAGGGAAGCAAACACAAGACTTCTCTGTGGACACTGACTTGGGGTGAAGGAGCACCATTAACAGAAGGCATTAGATTGGTCTTTAGTTGTCTTTTATGGGATTGCATGAAGCTTTAAATGTTGCATTTGTCACTTTATTAACAAATCCAACTTTATCCAATAAGTCAAAATAAGTGGAGTGCACAACAATAGTGTTTTGAAGCAAGCCAAATTGTGCTCATCTACATGGGGACCAGAAAACCCAATAAGCTCAGGTGTGAGCTGACAGTGCATCATCTACTCTGCACTAACTCACTCCCAACAAAAACACTTGGTTCCCAGAAAGAGCTTGGTAGCTAAGGGCACTCTCCAAGTGTAGTGAGCTCCTCTGCTCTTCCTACTAACAGAGTCCATTAGAGGGGTGGCTGAGAAGTGCTTACATCAGGGGCGGGCAATTATTTTGGGCGGAGGGCCACTTACTGAGTTTTAGTAAGCCATCAAGGGCCACATGACAGGCAGCCAGGGGCAGATAAATATTAATTTTGTAAATTCTTTAGGGGCCCTGTGGGCCTGATAAAATGGCCTGGCGGGCTGCACCCGGCCCCTGGGCTGCATTTTGCCCACCCTTGGCTTACATTCATGCCTTCCCTTGCTTCACAGTTTTCCTTCTTGCAAGCAAGCCCTCTGTTTCCAAGAAGGGAATGTGGGGACCATTAATTGTGAGCAGGGGTTGAGTTTGACTTATGAAGACCCAACAAGGAGAAAACTTTTAGCTGGAAACTAAGAAGTCAACATGCATCAAGCACTATCATGCATCTGTGGTTGCAAGCATCATCAGGAGACATTATGGGCTACAGGGGCAGGGAACCGGTGCTCTGAGCAGTGGCTGGAACTCTGGAATAGAACTAACTAGCTCTGATCCTTTAAGGGCCTGGAGTGAGTTTGGGAGATGCTAGCTAGAGCTTCTTTGCTTACAAAGCAAATAGAGCCACACTTCCCCCAAAGGACGGCTTGCTCTCACAGGGGACTAGGGCAACAAGAACAGGTGAAGCAGCAACAGAAAGCAGCCTGTGTCCCCATTACAAGCCTGAATTCCCAGCATCTGCTAACACCTCCTGAAATGAAGTCTGTCAGCAGCATCTCTCCAGCTGCACCTCCTGAGCTCATGAGACCAGACAGTGCACTTATGTAATCGGCTTAGGCGGCCGCCCTAAGAACAGAGTTGCCCTGCACTATTGGATTAAAAAAGTTAGTGAAGTTGTCTGAATCTGCCACCAAGCACCAGCACACCAAGACTCTGAATGAAGGCAGTCATGATACAGGGATCCAACAAGTACTTGACAGCAGCTACACCTACACCCAGAGCCAAAGTTCGTCACATAGCTCATGGTCAAAACTAAGCAGTGCACTGACACTCAGTGGCAGAATAATACATTACCAACACTGCCTTATTGCAAAGCAGCGTCATACAAAAAGGACTGGAAGGATCTTAGGAAAGCATCTACCCCCTGCTCAAGGCAGAATCAGCCCTGATCAGCAGGGATCCTGGCTTTCTCCTATTTAAAAAAAATCCCCCAATTTTCAGTTAAAAAAGTAACCTCAAATCCACATTTTTCCATCATTAAAATGAAACACCATGAAGATTATAGATAGTGGTGTTTCATTTTGGTCATGGGAAAATGTGGATTTGGGGTTACTTTTTTAACCAAAAATTGGGGATCCACCCAAGGCTCTCCCCCTTATTTTACACTTGATTCTCCACTATAGAATAAATGGAGCAATTCTGTTGCAGACCACTAGACAAGCCATACTTTTGACAGTCTGGATTCCTACTGAAAATCTCTGGTTTTATTCTGTGAATCATGCTTAGGTGTTTGCACAATTAACAGTGCTAATATTATGCGCCACCCTTAAAAGGATCTCACAATACTTCAGTTGAGAATCACTTCTCTAACCTATTCTTAAAAAAACCCCCAGAAACAACCCTCATACTCATCTCCCAGCTGCAAGACCTAGAACAGCCAAAGCACCCTTGAACTTCTGAAGCAGGAGGACAAGCTCAAAGTCCTGCATTGGCAAGACCAGAAAGTTTGTCAAAACTCTCACATGAGGAATGCATGTGGAAGCTTAGCATGTTACAGCTTTGGAATAGCTCTGTTTTAGGAGACATGCCTCACAAGCAACCATCTCCCTGTTCTAGTAGGGATAGAAAAGAATTGCTGGGTATAGATGGCCAAAAAAAAAAAAAAAAGAAAAAGAAAGAAAGAACTCAAAGGAACTACTGGTTTTTAAACATCACAGCCCCTGCTTTTTGAGGAAAAGCCTTTGGGCAGGCACGAATTCCCCCAGAAACCTCTGCAGCATATAGATATCTCCAACACCTGACAGCACCCCAGTGTCATTCAACAGCACTGACAGTGAGAGTAGATTACATTTGTAGCTCTTAACTTCTTAACCCTGTTAGACTTAAGACACCCTTTGAAAAATCACCAGCTCTAAATTATCACTCATTTTTGATTGCACAGATATATATAGAGAGAGCAATCCTTCTGTTGCTAAACCTTAGACCACAACAGGGCAGAAAGGAATCCGAGTGCTCACGTAGGTTCTTGGAGAGAGTCCAGGACCTTCATCTAACCCAGGAGGTGCACAGCCCCACCAGGGGGGATGCCTTGTTGGACTTGGTGTTGGCCACGGGCAACGACCTGGTGAGGGGGCTGCGGGTGCTTGACACCCTGGGCGACAGTGACCACTGCCTGCTAGAATTCACCATTCAGCGCCAGGTGGCAAAGGCAAGCAGTCAGGTGGTGGCCCTAGATTTTAAGAGGGCGAACTTCAACGAGCTAAGAAGGATAGTTGGAGAAGCGCTGAAGTCTCAGAGGGGAGGGGAGCCAGGTGTCCAAAGGGAGTGGTCGCTCCTTAAGGAGACGATCCTCCAAGCCCAGAGGAAGGTAATCCCCAGGAGGGTCAAAGGGGGCAGGAGAGCATATAAGCCTCCATGGCTCACTAAAAACATCCGGGAATGTCTCCTTGCCAAAAA